CGAATTCCTTCTTCCAAGAATCCCGCACACAGCGTTTTAAAGCCAGTGGCGCGGATCATAATCTTACCATCCAGATCGTTGAAAACTGCAAAATACGGTGAGCTTCAGATCTTTTACTTGCCATGCCCTTTTCGGAAAAGGCAGCTATTTCCATACCGTAGGAGCAGCAATCTCATACGTGCCATTCAATTCTTCAATTTTGTCCAAAACTGAAGCAAGAACACTGAAAACTCACTAGGTGTTGTATCAGAAACACTTCCAGTAGGCAGTTTTGTACTATGGATGTAACTATAAGTGCAAGGGTATGCAGCCGTTCGAACGTGGCGATACGGTAGCGTCTTAACCAGAGTGGTTCCAGTCCACTGAAAAATTGTATGTTCAAAAGGAAAGATACGATTCAGGCTGTAAACAACTCACAATTCCGCTAGCATCGACAAATATCGGGGTTTCAACAACTCCATTTCCAGTATTGACAGCGTATACCTGACGTTCATCTCCGAGGAGAACTTCCTCTACGGCGCAGTTTTCAAAGATTTGAGCACCTAAAAAAACTTTTAAAATGTCTGGGAGGAAATGTACATTTAACTCTACAAAATGTGGAATCGTTCACAGACAGGATAATGACAGGCACCTCGTGCAAAGCGACATTACCTGCTGCTTGCGCTTGCCGAGCTAGCTCTTGACAGAGTGCTACCGGGTCCAGGGCTACGTCTTCAGGCGACACCAAAGCTAGCTGGAAAGAAACAAACCCTAGTCAGTCAAAGACTTGATTCACATATTCAAAAAACTGTAAATTAATAGGCATCGCACCGATACGTCCTCCGTTTGTAGGAAAGGCCATCGTGCTACCATTTCACTCGGGCAGTCAATAAGTTCCACACCGCTGTTATGGAGAACCCCTTAAACAATAGACCATTGAACATTAATACTGTGCAAAAGATACAGTCAATACAGAAAACGATAAACTCAACAGGCGACTTGAATCCCATAAAAACGACTATCTAGTTTAATAGGGAATGTTGATGAACATTCAACATCCTAATAAACAGGCGAGCTGTTACTAGAAATAAGCTTCTACCACTATTTCTGCCAACACAGAAGTGTCATGCTAAGAACAGCGCCCAGACCTCCACAAAAGTTTATAGACCTCGCGATTCTTGCGCATAGTGCTGCTTCACAGGAAGGGGGAAACATACGTACCGATCACTGCATGCGATCGTACGATCGCGCAATCGCAAGATCGCTACGCAGCTACTCCTACTTCGAACTGCAAAGGTGCGACCCAACCCTTACCTAATCAAAAGCAAAATCTACTGGTACAGAGGGTAGGCTGAAGCTCATCTACCTACAACTTAACGCATGTGAAATTTGTAGGATTGGGGTTAAGTCCTGTCCATATTAGGTTGTCTCATAAATAGTGTCGCTTTTTTTCAACCAGAAAATTTTGATCTAAATCCCCATGCTTTTACAGAGAGTTATATACCATTCAAAAGAGAATTGTCTGCTCTACAAAATATCGTGTTCTTCTTCCATCTATGTTCAATGGTTTTCAAATTTGAGGCATGCGAAATGGGAGGTCCCGCCGACAAAAATTGACCAAACCGACAACTAGCTCTAACTTTATGTTCCCTTCGGAGAAATCAATCAATGATGTACCCTCTACTTATGCATGACCTCTTCTAAACATTACACTATTAGGTTTCCCAACAAGTCGCGTCATTCCATTTCCAGACCTGGTTTTTCAACCAGAACTCGACGGTCGAGCACCATTACCTGAGATCTAGGTCGAAATTTTTTTATAGCCGAGACATTGAAAAACTAGTAGAATTTCAAAGAACAAGTCATGACTAAGTTAGGAATGTACGCCTGGTTGATTTTCTCATCTCCTCAAGGATAATTTCTTTCAAAGAAATGCGGTCACTTTTGTGGACAAAGCACCTTACTCCTAAACCCCTAAAATTCGAGCTAATTCCTAACAAACATCAAAACAAAACAAATGAGCGAATAAAGCAGAAGAAGTGCTCACAAAAGATATACCAGTTGATATAAAACAATAGCGTTTCAGAGGAAGAATTTCAATTTGAAAATTGCCATGACTTATCGGTTGGCCAATTCGAAAAGAAACAGGGCAAACCTTTTTCGGCAACCTAAGGGTGGAATGTTCAGAAGAGGTCATGAGTAAGTAGAGGGTACATCATTGATTGATTTCTCCGAAGGGAACATAAAGTTAGAGCTAGTTGTCGGTTTGGTCAATTTTTGTCGGCGGGACCTCCCATTTCGCAGGCCTAAAATTTGAAAACCATGGAACATAGATGGAAGAAGAACACGAATTTTGTAGAGCAGACAATTCTCTTTCGAATGGTATATGACTCGATGTAAAAGCATGGGGATTTAGATGAAAATTTTTTGGTTGAAAAAAAGCGACACTATTTATGAGACAACCTAATATAATTGAGATCTGACGCAACAATATGGAAAGAGAAACAACGAAAACATCGAAATTGGCCACAAAAAATGATGGTTAAGCTACTCTAGAGTGATTGCTCCTCAAAGAAATCTCGGATCGGTTTTGAGAGACGCCAAATAAACCCTTGACCGCATTTGGGGAACTTCTGAAACCAGTAAGTATTGCAGGCCACCTACGAATGCACTTCCCTATAAGAGCTTTCACAACAGAAACCAACAATAATAATCATCACAGAAGTATGTTTGAAAAAGAAACCAATCACTTCACTAAACGTCCAAGTGGGAGATGAGCCGAAGCATGGGCGTATAGTTCTAAGGAATTATACGAGCGAGATGCTGTTTACAAGTAGCAGCTTGAAGCGCAAACTGGAAGCTGTGACGATGCCGCCACGGTACTCAGTTGACACCAACCGCATTCCAACGCTAAAACAGAATGCTGAACATTGCCTGGACAATGCCTCATTTGCTTATAGCCATCTCATAGAGGTGGAGCGACGCCAAGCAAAGATTATGTGGATAGACGCAGTGCCGGACCCGCCCGCCAGATATTCTCCTTGAGTCCCAAGCCCGAAATAACGAAAATGATGCTTCCACTGAGACCTATCGAGGTCCTTTCCTCTTGGATACCATGAGCGTAAAGTCGCACACTGTTCCTTTCCACATAAGGAATAAGTCGTTTCAAACGAATGAGTACTTAGTCAATTTTGGAGGACCCTAGCGTTCGTGACCAACAATAGTATGTCCCAAAGACACTTCAAAGGGTACCCCAAATCAGAAAGCACGAATACGACGCCATCAGGCTCTACCAGGAACTTGTGGAGCTTCGAAAATAAAGAGTGCGACCGAATGAGTCAGGATCTCCTCCCATTGAACACCAGTTTGAAATTGAACTATGGCGAAAAAGCTTAGACCATCCCTCTACTGGCTTGATTTTTCCAAACTCTTCGGAAATAAACTCACGCGTCTTTTTCAAACAGGCACACGCGTTTCCCTCGACTTGCTAAGTGGTATGCTGCCGAGGTTCCAGCAATTCCGCCTCCACAAACCACTACATCGGCTGAAGAAGTGAACTTCCTGAAACATATTCGCGTAAATGGATCACAAAGGCTAAGCAAGTCCAAAAAGAAAGGGAAGAACTTACGTTGTGTAGTGACGATTATATATCAAACATCCTCGGCAGCCTCGACGAAAGACGGAAAGCATCACATCAAAATATCAAAATAAAATAACTGAAATGAAAAGATAACGAATGACGAACACAAATTCCATGAGCTCACATTCACTTCAGCACTGATTTCTCAAGTGTATCAATTATTAACCGTAAACCTCAAAGAAAAAAAAGATGACTGGCTGAATACCAAATCTAAAAGTGCCACAACGAAGGAATACATAGCAAGCTTCATTGGATTTGCGTCTCAACCACATTCAAAAATCACAAACATATCGAGATAACAACCTGTGGAGAAGGAATAAGAAACAGTAATATGGCATAGAAAAGAATGGTAAAAAGAAAAAACCCGTAGAACAGAATTGTGGGAGAGGTAAATATTAAACGACTGAGTTAAGAATTTTCCAGATCAGGCTAATGGAATGAAAAAGTGCGTAATTGTCGGCATAAAACTCCCGACGAAGTATCAACGAGATAGGAATGATTTGTACGTTATCATATAGCAACACTCAACATCTATAGCAGTAACACAATCAATGATAAGGAATGGTTTCAAATTGATCTCACAACGTTGCCTGCGAAAAAAAAAACACTTCAGACTAATGACAGCCGCTTCTCTGCTTCAATTCTGGCTAAAATTTTTAGCGGATCTTCCGCTGTAGCTGAGCGACGATTCTGAAATGAGCACTACCTTATGAACACAGAAACTTGTCAGAACCACATATGTATAAAATCCAGCAGCAATCCAGCTCACCTCATTCGCAACCTGCTCATCTTCTTCATCCTGGGCCTTGCGTAACTCATCAATAAGTCGGAACGCGTCTGATGAACGATTCAATTTAGAATAAATGAACACACCCAAAGCCAGGACACTTCGCTCGTACAGCTCATTTGTCGTCGTGGATGCCCTAATCTCCTGAACACATTATGTATAAGAGTAAACAATACAACATTCAAATTAATGACTTCTTGTAGACCACTCAGTCTTTTTCTACGCTCCTTACCCACCCAGCACAGAACTTCTAACAAGCGCAACCACTATCCCCGGAGATTTTTTTTTCGTAAGAACCAACAATATGACGAACATTCAAACGGGAAACACCTGATTTTTCAGCATATATGTCACGGCCAACGCCACGTGACGCGAAAGCTACTCACTTTGTAAAGGCTTCAGCTTCTTCATATTTACGATTGGCACAAAGAACTATGGCATCTGTTGATGACAGCCCATATTGGATAGGATCCACATTCTCCAGGCAGCTTGCTTTCGGTCTCAGCATAACGGTTCATTAACTTCCAAAGCAATTAACGGGCGCAGTTGACACCATGACACTCCCGATCTCCAACAACAGGTTTAACAATACAAACAGAAAATGTGCGAAAAAAAGTGTAAAAAATTTTAGTCAAAACATAAAAAATATTGACGTCAAGTAACGTAAAAACCGAGGAAGTAAATTTCCATTAAAAAGCGGGATCCGTAGATTGTTGGTCATACGTAAAATACGCCATTGGCCCGCAAACCAAAACTGCAGAAATTCGAGCGACGCAACTTCATGTAGTTTTCATAGTAACATATTGAATGAATTGAAAGCTTACGCTATAAACATGAGGGTGAATAACCTCAACGACTCAAAGGAGCCTGAGGATTGACCACATGACCCAGGCGAAATCTTGTTTACCATCTCATGCACTTGACAACAATTGATCAGGTTAGAATAAAAATCGCCTAAGGACGGGCCTAATCACAGCAGCTATCTGTTGAAGCTCGTGATGTTGAGATTAGCACGTTGACGACCGTGTGGTACGATGCCACACCACACTTTCACATGGAGCAGACTAAGTTTCCCTAATTTATTTGGTGATTTTCCCTGTTCCACAACGGTCCATGTACATTATTGGATCCGAAAAACAATTTTTTCATTACTGATAATGAAAACGCTGAAGGATTAATGCCTATTGATGAGAGAATACAAGAAAGCTTAAGCAGTACGCGCACAACGGCGGTCGTCAACGTGTTAATTGCCACTCTATTCATAAAGATACTTAGTCACCAGTTCAACATTCGTCATCCTTCTGCACGTATCCCATTTTTTTGGAGGCCAGGCCACCAACCATTGCCTTGCCGTGTTCCACGAGCTTGTAATTGTTTAGATGTGCAACAGTCAATCAGAAAGACCTTATCTGCTTCATTAAGGATAAACATCTAAACATTCTGTAATGGAGGCCCAAGAAACGATAGAATATGATAGTATCATAATTCTTAGCCTTGCAGAAGGTACAGTTTGGTTCAGAAGGTGCAGTCTCCCATTAAAGACATCATTAAATATCCTAGAGGAACTTAAAAAGGGCTGGCAGTAATCACGTGCGTGAGTTTCCACTCCACTTCCAAGCCCACAGGCACCATGAGGAACTTCTCAAAAAAACATTTGAGAACATTGCAGAAATAAAAAAACAGCAAAAAAAGAATTGGTGTGTTCAAGCCAACGTTGGAATTGTAGAAGCCATCTCCAAACCGAAATGTGAAGATTTAAAATAATTCAATCTATTATCAACAAGCAAAGCGGACTAAGCGCTCACCAAATACATTGATGCCGTCATACTGCAATTACCGATGGATTCTTCTTCATCGATCATTTTGTGAGCCAAATCCGCTGCATAGCTTCAATAAATCAATCAGAATACCAGGTGCGACATGGACGCAGTATCAAAGTAATTATGGAAGATATGGAAGAGAGGGCACTTCAAATTGAAAACTGATGAAGTGTTTAGAAATCCTCTTCTTTGCCCCATAACAATTGGAAAACAGCAAGATTGTTCGATATGGTCGCCCTAGACACCCGTTATAGCTCAGACGCTTCGGATGCGAACCAACGGCAACAAGCCGAGTTTCTGGGGAATTTCGGCTCATGTTTCATTGAATGATTTTTTCACAGATTCAGTTGCGATGTGTTTGAAAGTGCATGTATTACACCTTGACCAGGAGTACGCTGGATTGATGTGAGGCAAATCTCCTGTTCTACGGAACTCAGGGATGAATTGGGGAACATTGGCGCAGCATCAGCCGTTAGCCTTCTTTCTTTGTTAAGCCGTTTACTGCCATTTTGGAGGAGCCAAACAGCATTCCGAAAAAAATTCTTGACCAACGGCTTCTCAAGAGTAGCCTCGACAGAGCATCACTTATAGCCAATGTTTATTGGCAAAAAATGCGCGCTGAAAAAAATGCGACCCAACGACTGAAATAGATTGCCGCCCACTTAGCGGCGGGGCAGAAGTAATTATGCAGAATGAATAGATCCCGTGGGTGCGATTGCGCGATCGAAACACCGCTTTGCTGCCACATAACTCTCCAAACTCAAGCTGTTAACGAAGGGCAAGGCAGCCAAGATATGACCGCGGCTTGACATTTTTTTCAGAGCAACAGCAGATGTATGGAAATATTGTGCTAATGGATGACTCTCATTACATTTAGTTCCCGCACAGCTTGTCCTCACTGTGAGCACTAACTAGCACAAAGCCATTGGTTTCTGTTTCGCGCCCATCATTAGCGAGGAGGTGATACAAAGAACCAGAAAACAACTTTATGTGCCCAACAAAGATGATCCTACCAGCTCGCCTCGCATTCAGCCCATTCTTATTGTTC